TTGTTTATTTTGCACCTTACGTTTTAGTTTTGAATTTAGGAACAACCGTTACAAATCAGCAAACACATCTTAATTCACCTACATTGTTCGGGCGCTGCCTAAATCACTTAAGAGTTAAACTTTCTTTTAGGGCCACTAAAGACCCTCTACCCAAACCCGGAAGGAAGGGGGCGATCAGCACTAGTTCTGGTATCTTCACTGATTTTAACACTTTCCTTCTCCCTCTTTAAAACTGGGATCTTAGAATTGATGGTGTGTCTTTCACAGGCAGCATTTTGGCTTCTTAGTGGTGCATAATATAATAGTGAATCTTATAATCGATGGCATGTTAAATTTAATGATATAGAATATCCTCTTCCAAAAATATACTGGCATCAGAATGTAAACTGAGGGGATTAAAAATAAGAATTCTTGAATTATTTGTACCGTTTTCAAACTCAAGTCTGGAAACAATCAATGTAGCTACCTATATGTCCGTGATCTTTAGGCCCCTGACTTCTCCATTCACAGGTCAGCAACAAGAAGCTGCCGCTGACTCCCCTTTGGGTCCTGCCCACCTTGGGGGACCCTCCTCCCTACACACAGACACACACACGCACGCACGCACGCATTTTGACCCTCAGTGAGGACGAAGTGATGCAGAATCACGAGATCCCAGCAGGCTGACCCGACACCTGCTGATCCAGTGAGAGATCTGGCTGCTCTAGATGCGACTACATCTGCTGCCCCAAAGTGGATTCTTGGTACAACTGCACATCTCTCTGGTGGCTGAGACGGGTGGCCAGATTCACGAGTGAAGCCTGCGCCCGTGGTCACGGGCCCACTTGCCACGAGTGGACAGGGCTGATGTTTCAGTCCCCGACTTCACCTTACTAAGCAAGCTGGTTCTCCCCTTAAATTCAGTGTGGCAGCCTTTCTAATTTAGAGGACACATTTAAATCTCTTAGCAGGCTAAATAAGACACACATCATCAGGATACTTCTGTCCAAATAATTACCTTTTGCTACCTGATTTCGACAAGCACGAAGAGACTGAAAAAGGCTAAATCCGTCAATAGTCACAATGGCAGCTGGATATAAGATACTCAACTCTTCATTCTATCAAAGAAATAAAGAGAAAACAATAAATTTTAATCATTGCCAAATAAGCATTTTTATTATAGTTAAATGTCATGATTAATGTAAAAATAAAAAATATTACGACTAAACTAAACTGTCGACCACCAACACACAAAATAATATCAGGCAGAGGAATAGTAAAAATAAATGGAAAATTAATTTCAGGATGCATTTGGCCAAGGACTTAAAATTCTTCTCGAATATGAGCTTTTGTATATGGTGAATAATGCTTTCAGGATAGATGGTGAAGTTACCGAAAAGAGGTACGAGTTTCTTAAAAATGAAATACAGTCACTGTGCAGATATAAATAAAATAGAAAAGTAGAGAGAAGAAAAAAGGGAAACTCACTTAGAATCCCTGGCAGGTCTCATTACACACCCTCCCATGTAATCACACACTTCTGCCTGAGACCATACCACAGACAGCATTCCGTAACATGTCTTAGTTATGCAGTAACGAGTCAGCATGTCTCTACTGTAATAAGTGAACGAGTCATTCGTCACGCTGCATTAAAGGCACTGCATTCAGCTAAGCAGGCCTGGGCCTCCTGCGCCCACTCCGGCTCGCTGCGGTGCATGCCCGCTCAGCCAGCACGGCCCTCCTGAGACGGCGCGGACTGACCCCTCTCCTGGCGAAAGCCTCCGAGGGCGTCCTTCAGGCCTGGACGCTTTAACAGCGCCAGCGATCCGCACGCATCTCTAATGCCACCTCCCCGCCCCCTTGTCCTTGAACAGGAAGGTCATCGTCAGCTCGGCGCTTTGCCTGTGCCTGGACCTTAGCTCCCAGGTCTGCACCTGCCTGATTTCTCTTCGCTCAGGGCTCAGCTCAAGGGCAGTTGTTCAGAGAGGCTGCTAAGCCTCCATCTCAAAGGGCGTCTCCATTCCTCCCACATCACTATGTCATCAATGCGATGACTTCTTTCACAGCGCCTGTCACAGACCGGAATCATCGTGGTCCCGCCAGCTGTTCACTGTCTGTTTCCTCTACCGTCCCCGGCCTGCAGGCTCCATGAAAGCAGGAACCTCGTGAGTCAAATTCCCAGTGATTATACAAATGAAGTAGTGCATCTTCATTATTACAAACATCCCTGCAATGAACATTCTCCTGCATAAATCTTTCCGCCTTACTTCAGTGTCAGTTCCTCCAGGTCGGGTCTGCTGGCTCGCAGAGTATGCACGATTTTTCATTTTCATCCAGATTATGAAACGGCCTTCAAGAAAGTACCTATCAGTTTTATACGTCCACCAATAACGCATTAGAGTGCCTGGTTCTCCATACTGTCTCCAACAGTTTGCTAGTCTTCACCTTTGCCAGTGTGAAAGGTGAAAATTTATCCAAATGTACTTGCTTGTAGTTCTTAGATTGTCAAAGTTTTATCAGATGCTTTTTGACCATTTACATTTCTTCTTTTGAGAAGTGTCTTGCCCCAGTCCCTACTGGACTGTTGAGCTGTTTCCATTTTTTAAAGATCTGTGGGCCACAAGGGGCCAGGGGGAGGGAGGTGGCAGAAGTGAGCTGTTAGTCGCACAAGGCCAAGCCTGCAGGGTCCCCCGAGTCAGACAGCGGGGAGAACACCACCCCACTGACCCGGAGGGGCTAATCACCAGCCAGTCGCCCACCGCCAATGCAGACAGTCTTCCTGCAGCGGGTACTAATACGAACAGCAACGGTCCTGAAGCTGAAGAGCCACACTCAGCGACAGATCATGCAGAAGTCACAGAGGAAGCTTCGCGCTCCAGAAGAGAGCTCCCCTCTGTAGAATCTCCTCCTGTCGCCCCTGCACTCACTGTCAGAGAACGGAATTAGAGGAAACTTGCTCCCGTGATCTTTAAGAAATCTTGGCGTACACTGAAGAATAGACTTTTGATATACAAATTGGTGTATCAGATCCAGAGATGCTTCTGTAGAAGACAGAATACTTTCTCTCCGTGTTCCATAAGGATTATTTTTCAGCTAAAAGATTTTAACTCAGAGCAAATAGTAAGCATTTAAAGATTATATTTTTCCGTAGGCTCTAAAATAAAGAGTATTATAGACACAACCAAGTTGACAGTGTTTACAGAACTTTCACCATCCAGATAATTTGCAGAAAAATGGAGAATGGCTCTCGAGAAGCACCGTCAATGAACCATGATCTTCGTGGATTTCCAACAGCAGCTTCTCCGCTTCCTTCGCCTCCTTTCTCTCCCATCGCCTTACGATGAGGATTTCTATTTCTACGACTTAAGTCTTCAGCCTTAGGTCTCGTTTTCCTATGTCCTTTACCTGGAAGAATTCGTTCATTACCTGTGACTTCGATCGCCTCCGTCAATCGACTTGTCTTTGTGCCTACGTACTTCTGCTCCGTTACAGACGTACTGGCATTTCCATTTTCTTTCCCACCATTGCCCCAAACTCAGCATGTCCAAAACCAACCTTTATAACATTTAATCGGCGCCAAAGCGATACCCTCTTCCGACTCCTGAGGCTGGATATCTGGGTGCCAACTCGTTTTTCTCTTTAATATTCTATATCTCCACATAACCGAGTCCTCTCGATTGTTCCTTTAAAATGACTTTTGTACTTCCTGGTCCTTTCCCACTTCCCAGTCATTTTAGTCCTGGTGCCCAACCCTGGGCATCTATTACACACGACTTAAAAAGACACAGACAAACAGCCTCCCCAGTTCTGGGCGACTCCGACGCGTCCTGAAGAGGCCTGTGGCACCTCTGACCATGTCTCTTCCTTCCCACAAATCTTCAGCAGCTTCGCTCACCTCCCGATCAATTCTGCATTTCATTTGGCTGAAAAATGTGGCCGCTCTGCCTAGTCACCAGTTTCTCATGATTTTCTACCACAGGTTGCTTTGTTCTGTCGTAAACAGTCTTAACATTTGAATCGCCGTTCATTTTTCTCCTGATTACTTAAAATACTTTCCTCTTTTTTTCCCATTAACTAATTAAATTCTATACCCTTATTCGAGGCTTAATTTGAACCTCGCCTCCTCAATGAAATTTTCTTTAATTTTCCTTGTTCTAATTGATCTCCCCGCCGCCCCGTAAAGTTGTACAGAATTTATTGACCATATAAATTAGCAATTAACGAGGTATTGCTTTATATTCCTGACTCTTTCATGTGTACTGATAGGTATTTGTTTAGTCTCTCTCTCTCTCTCACTAGATTAAGCTCCTTCTGTCCACCTGTCATGCAAGTCCCCACAGGCCCAAAATATATGCATCTGTTTACTTGAAATCTTTTAGAAGCAGGGCGGTATAAAGAAGGCAGGCATATTTGTATTTTGACACCTAAATCCAAATGAAAAAAGATACAAAGTTATGTAATAATCACATTTTTGCCTTAAGTCACTATTAAATTCTAAAAATAAGAAACCTTTTGTTTTGCCTTCTAATAAAGTGTTTAATTTACTGTAGACCAAAACACGCAATATTTCATTACACAGGTGAAGCAAGATTGGTATGCTCTAGTCCGTTATAAATTGGTTCTCTCTCTAGAATATTCTAGCACGGCTGCCTGCGCAACAAGACCAAGGTATCCACCCACGAAAGAGGAAGGAGCTAGTTCAAAGCCGTGACTCTGGGCACGGGCCACCGTTACCTGCTCCGTCACGCCGGGATGTCGCGGGATTTCGTAGGTCCTGCACTTAAGCTGCAGCACGGGGTCTTCATTCAAAAGCTGCGCGAGCAGGAGGACACCACTCTAGGAGAAAGCACAGGGCGGACTCTGCTGTTTCCTCCCTGACACACCTGGACAGGTAGGGCCAGGCATGACTGTCACGGCAAGTTTTCCACGGACGCCAGGTACTCTCTGTTCGGAATACAGCTTCTCTTCTTGACAGCTTCTACCAGAACTTTCCACCACCACCCTCCCCTGTCCCAGCCTCCACCCCCAGAGAGTATCAACTACACGTGTCCAAGCAGCAGGCGATGAGTCACGAGTGGAGTGAGCGTGATGGGGCTGCGTGACCGGGGGCCCCAGAGCCTGGTGTCCGCTGACGGCCGAGCACGAGCTCACCTCCGTGTAGAAGCGCACATAGCCCGAGGTGAAGCCCACCACGATGCAGGTCCAGTCCGGGCGGCCGGTGGAACTTCTGTCACCGGAAAAAAAAAAAAGATTTGTCCTCTGAATAGCTCATCGATCACAGCAAACAAAACGAAGAACTCTTGTTTCTCCTTACCTCTTCTGACTTGCTAGTGGGATACACAGAGCACTGGTTACATATTCTCTGAAAACGAAACACAGGATCGTGTGCTTATCTAACGAATTTATCAAGTACTTTTATTTCTCTAGATGTAACGTTAAAAGGCGTAAGCGGGAGAGGAGCTCTGTGGGCCAGTTTTATTCAATGCCTAAGTAAAAATCCGGCAACACTGCACCACGAGCAGGATCGGAAAACCCTTTCCCGTAAAAGGTAATGTCACATTCGCTTGAGGTGAATAAACACAGTATTTTTCATTTTGTTTTGTCATGAAGAGCATGAAAGAAAGCGGAACGTGACTGTACACGACTGATTATACACAGAGCTGAGGAAACAGCGAATGACCGCCAGGCGGTCATGGCCCACTGTCGCCCTCTCGTCCCCCTCAGCTGAGAACCCGGGCCGGGCGTGGGAGAAGCTGCTGAGCACGTTACAGACAAACTGCATTTCTGCGGAGTCCTCTATTGTGGGGACTTACTCTCTGTCAACTGGTGGCCTTCTTCTTTAATATTTTGTAGGAACTGCCTCTGATAACCTATTTCTAAGCGCCTGCTAGGCAGGATGTTCCCGAAAAGATGTTTTTTTCTGACATGTAGACTTAAAAATGTGTCAGGAGCTCAGACACCAAGCCTCAAAATTAAAATAACTCCGTGACTATTATTAACCAGTCAAACCTCAGCACCACCAGCCACCAGTTTATTCAAGAAATGTACAAACACGCTCGCCCCACACATCGTAGCAGCCGATCTCCAGGCAAAATCAACCTTTCTGTTTGTCTGTTGTCTTTAAAGTCATTTAACCATTGTGTTTGCTTTGAATTTCTGACAGAAATTAAACGTCTTCAAAATGCTCTAGGCTAAGTGACTTAAGGAGAAATACTTTCATTTTTGCTAAGAGCAGACAACATTTCACTGAGCACCTACAACACGCCAGGCATGCGCTACGGGCTTCCACGTGATTGTCTCTCATCTGAATGCAAAGCTGGAAGAAATGCGTTCATCCTGATCAGAGTTTGCCGAACTCAAGAGGGTGTTTGACTCTGGGTTCCAGGCTAGCAGCCCCATCACGTGACCACACTAACATCTGCCTTCGAAACTCTTACTGCATCAAAAAAATCGAATTTACCAACTTGGACTTCTAAAGTATTTAGGACCTTTAAGGATAAATGTAGCACCGTCCCCTTCAAATACATGCCGATGGAAGCGAAGCACAGAAGGCAGTGACTGCCCTTGACTTTCTGGCTGAATTAGTAACAAAGAACAGAGGAAATGACGAAGTGTAGAGAAGATGTTACGGCAGTCTCTCTGGACTCTTCTTTAAATCCCATCCCAACAGGGTTGTGTGTGTGTTTTATTTTTAATGACATAGTAAGTAAAATTAAAATCTGCTGACCAGATCACGCGCTAAAGTTGGGATAAATATACATTCGCTAAATATTCCAAATGATGAAACTTCTTAATAGAGTCACTTACAAGTCAAACAATTTCACGTATACATCTAATGCACAGAAAAGGCAAAAAAATTAACTGGTACCTACCCTTCTTCGACATTTAAAGAACCACTCCAAGAAACAGCAAATTGCATTTCTTCCTTTCCTTTATCGCTATATTTCCATTTTGCTGGAAAAATTAAGTTATCACATGAAATCACTCTATAGTATATTTCAAAAGTAATT